TCTAAATATTTCAGACCTATATTCCCAAGAATATAGTTTTTACTAATTTGTGTATAATGTTACAATTAGTGCATTTTTATTTTAAATTCCTTATTTAACTTGTTCTTTATCTCTTCCAACAATGAATAAATTAAATTGCGACAAATTTATAGAGGAAAGTCTGGTTGTTCAAAATTTCAGACACTTCTGTGTGTAAAGAAAAGAGTATGATGTTAATTGTCCCTTAATTCTTTTCGTTAAGAAAAGAAGAATTAAGAAAATAAGAAGAGCGAATAAACAATGTTCTGAAAAGTACATTGGAGATGCATTCACTTCGGAAATTAACGCGCTCTACATATATAAGCTTCATTCTATCTTCCTCATGTAATATATATGATAAAGATAGAATAAAGCTTATAAGCGCGTGAACGTCTAAAGCAAACGCATGCTAAGAAATAGATTAAAAGCTATTGGAGCAGCAGATAACATTAAAACCATAGACAGACAATAGTATAGGAATGTACCAAAAAACATGTTTTTTTTTTATATTTCTGATACCACCTCTTTACTTTTTTAACACTTAAATATATCATGCTTTCTTCTTCCCAATTGCGTAAAACAAAACACAATTGTCCGAAGTCAATTAAATTTCGTTGACTAGTCTGTTCGATATTGTTTGCCACCTCGCTGTTCAGTATCACCTAAAGTGCAATGAAAAAACAATATGAAACAGGCAACTCATAACTTATAAAAACAAGAAAATATAAAAATTAAAACTGTAAATATCTTGGCTATATTTTTTTATTTTTGGAAAAATATGTATATGATTAAAAGGATATGTTTTAGTAAAATTTTCTGTTTTACATCATGTATTGCACTTAATTTTTGCAGTCCAAGAAAATGAAATGTCGAAGGAACTTAAGTGTCCGATATCATTCGACTTTTTCCTAATTAATCCTTATTATATGTTTTTGTTTTATTATTATACGTAGAACTTTTTGATTATATTGATAATTTCGTGACGGTTTACTCACATTTCTATTCATATTTTTGAACGAACGTGTTTCTTCCCTGTGTTCATCATGACATTTAGTCTAAGGCAAGATAGAATTGCCTATCTATCATCTATGTACCTACCATACGATGCACTTTCCCGTTTCGCGTGCCTAAAAACAGCAACAATGCTGCGGAATATAATGAAGGCGGGTGCAACGCCTATTCCCGCATAATGATTCACGTACCGTGAATAGAGAATAGTCATTAAGCTGCGCCGCCCGGTGTCATTGCACCCTAGATCCTAGAGGACGCATTGGGGAGCCGAAGGAAAGCGCAGACGGAAAAGTTGGAGTACACGTAAACGGCTGAAAATCTGACGTCTTGGCGCTCGGCCAAGATCTCCGTGGCTTATCTTCGGATTCGTCTTCATCCCTCATCCTCCGGTGGGCGCTCTTCTGCGGCGGTCCACGGACTTTTATTCCACTTTCCTGCCGACGCGACGCACGGCCGTTTCGCGGAAGCGCGCGTCCTCGTCATCGTATTGCTATTCTCGGAATCCAGGCAGTTTAATAGGTTCGTCCGATTACGAATCCTAGATACACGAATGTTTAGCTCCAAAAATTCTTTCAAAGGATTGATTATTATTTCGTGATGTCGCTACAAATGTTTGTGATCGCGCGGGGCGCCGAAACTTTTCCAGCAGCCACCTGGTGCCACCAACGTTCAGTTTTTTTTTATTAATCTTGCTGTAATTCTATTTAGAAGAAACGTTTTTCGTGTGACAACTTCAACGAAACTTCGAAACGATTTGTCACAAAATTGTATCGAGATTATTGTATCTATATATAAACATTATAAATGTTTTATATATAGAAATTTTATTGTTCTAAAGAGTTTATTACAATTTCTATTTATAATTTAACTAATTTTTTTTTACTAAAATACGAGTACAGTAAAAAATCTGTTATATAAAAATTGAAGAAGCCGCTCGATTTTGTCTGTCGTTACCGAGAGGCAAAGTCTCGGCAAAGATTTTTGAGAAACAAACGAGTTTAAGAAAAAATTCGCCAACGGACGAATCTCGTCGCGAGATTTGAGATTCCAATCTCCTCGGCTTACCTTGTCGCGCCTCGCGGATGGCCGTGGAATAGAAGAGAGGTGGTTTACCCGAAGACCACGACAGCTGCATCGAGCCAGCGGGGCCTGAAAATAGCACGACAACCCCATGCCGAGGCTGCCGGAGGAGCGGCGAAGTCCAAGTCCTCCCTCTCTTTCTCTTTCCTCAGGCGTTCACTGCTTTCGTATACATATACTTTATTCGCTAGAAAGCCGCCTACGAAAGCCTTTTAAATAGCGATTGCGTGCTTTTCCCTTTTTTTTCCGGCAGGCGGAAAGTACTTGCTACCGTCAGCACGAAGAAAAGGAGGCCGCTGATTTATAGGAGGAACCGTGCATATCCGGATACTTTACGGAACACACGATTTAGTCAGGCTTTCTCGTCCTAAATGATCCCGCCGCCTCGTGGAATCACTCGTGGAATGACTCGGTATCCCTGCCATCAACGCAAAAACTATATCCGCCCCCGTACTTATCCGTCTTTTTCGAGCGAGAAATTACCTAAAATTGGAAATTCCCCTCTCACAAGCTCCTCCCGATTTAGTAAACTCGTATACATCATTCGATGTAATTTATTACCTTTCCATGTAGTCATATCCTCAAGCCCGTCGTCAAAACTAATTCGGATCTCATCGACATTCCATCTCAACACAATAGAATCGAGCTTCAAGCAAATCTCTTTCGGTAGAACCGCACGTGACCGAGATAGCGATTTATCCGTCAAGATCTCTTCGCCGCCGTTACCGTCGTGTATTTTCTCCTCCTCCGCATCTGGGAGCGTTCCAAGAGCGCCGAAAATACGCGAATCACGTTAGTGGGCGGACGGAATACCTTTGAGCACCTGTAGGATGCGCCGCCGGATAAAGCGCGTAAAAAGCCACGAGGTACTAGCATTATGTATATCGGTGTCGGTTACGTTAATGGATGATCTGCAGTCGAATTGCGTCAGTGGTTGAAGATGCTTGTTGCTCGATGTGCTCGAAACTCGTGACTTTATTTTTGGCCGTTCAACGACGATACCGTCGACGATTTACGATACCGCCGCCGAGACACCTGTTCCGCAACTCCCATTTAGAGGTTCCTCGCGATTGTGCGTTTTATCCGAAAGCTCGTAAATATTTCAATTTAATGTAAACAGTCGATGTGCTCCAGCTTCCCCTCTTTTTCTAAAGAATTTCAAGCATTTTTTAATATAGCATCGAAAAATGACGTAGGATAGAATAAATATATCAAAGAACGGTATGGTCGAATGCGAATCATAATTCTCATTGAATCGTGGAAATCGCGGATATTCTTGAAAAACGAGATGTATATAAGTTTGATTAATGCACAAGTAGATATTAATAGATACATTAATAGAATTTTAAATTGAGACTCTTTACGCCTTTCTCAAGTCTCGCAAATTGAACCGAATGCATATAAAAGAATCGATATTTCTCGATTAAATCACCTTTTTACTAATAACAGAAATTAAATAACAAAAGAAATGCAAAATATTCAATATTTAATATCATTTAATAATACAATAAAAATAATAAACGAAAAAAATCACAAGATCGTTAACAAACAATCCATTCTCTAATTTATTGAATTTTTCGTATTTAAGATAAACTTTAGATCGGAACCCGAGTTCTTTTTTTCTAACCGTTTTAGGACACGCGTTTCTTGCAAAGAGCAAGATACTATACGGCAGCGGGGCTTTTTGGTCGACGATTGAATGAATGCCACGCGAGTTAGTCAGCGCCGCGGTGCTAAATTCGGCGGACGCCTGGCGTCGTGCCAGAAGAACCACCCAGCGCACCAACCTGTGCTGCTACCCTGTAACCGCCGATGAAATGGCGTCGTTATCATATCTGCTTGCCATTAGCTTTCGTTTAAATAACGTCCAAACAGATAGACATATAGCGTTGATTCCATTAAGTTCTCTGAACATGTGGTAGCGAGATTCATGATTTTCCATTGTTTTTCGTTCTTTGTTTTTTTTTCTTTTTTTAATAAAAATTGTATATCTAATTATCGTCAAAAATAGAAGATTAGATTGGATTTCGATCTTCAAGTATTATTAACAAAAACGATGATCGATTGATGGAATTTTGGATGCATACAGCTTTTACTGCCGCAAATATATGCTGCACCTCAATCAGAATTGAAAATTCCATTATTATAAAAATTTATACATTAGAACTTAAAATGCATTCTCTCTAGTATTTCTTAAAACAACGTGCATAAAAGAAGCTGTTTAAGATTTATATAATATTTCATCTATAATTCTCGTGTTTTTTAATTCAAAGATCTTTTATATAAATAACCAAAACAAAACCGTCTGCGCTATTTTTGAAGGATAATACTAAAGCATTAAGGAAATTAATATGTATGTCTTTTATTAGCTAATTCTTTTACCATAATAAACTGTAAAAAGAATTACTGGACAATCATCGTACCGTAATGTACCGCATTCGCTCAAATTAATTTCGCCAATTTGCATTTGATTCAACGATCGTTCCAATTAGCGGGATAGTAATGTGCGATGAGGCGGAAGAACTTGTCGAGAGAAGACAATAAGGGTAGTTAGCAACCACCCTGCAGGAGCCGCGGAGGCCGGCCGTGTTCCACCCGCTCGGTCTTTCATCCGCCCCTCCTCAGCAGGGTCATACGCATTCGTCACGCGTGTTGCACATTGCCGGCACACCAATGGGACCACCACATGCGAGGGAGGGAACCGAGCGGGCACGCTTCTGAGGCGCGTGCAGCTGAAGAAGAAGAAGAAGAAGAAGAACAAGACGACGACGACGACGAAAAGCACTGCGGCGGCGGCGGCGGCGACGACGCAGCGGAGGAAGTGGAGAGCAAGGGAGGTTGCGCTGCTATATGTAGCCCCGAATCTTAGCCGGGGCAACTATTACGCCCGAAATTGCCGAAGCGAACGCAACCCCTGCGCCACTCGACGTACACACTTCCAAAACGGATCGTCCTCCCATAACGAGTCCCTCCTCTTGAGATATCGCGATACACCGGTTCTATTCTACCTTCGCGTTGCTACGCCTGATTATAGATAATCGGTGCAACAAGTGTGTTAGTTTGTGAGTCTTAAGTTGATAAGCATGATTTGTGTGCTCTGAAGAGAAAAAGCGAGAAAACGAGGAAGATGCCGCGGGCATTCCTGATCACGCATCGCAGGTACAACGGTGTTGAAGAAGAGATCACAGGATCTGAAAGAGGTATGTTTGTTAACTTGGCCCGCTGTAACTTTGATAAAAAATTTGAAAACATTAATTTAATTGTGATGAGTCAGACTAGAGTTCATAGTATATAAAAAAACATTTATCTTAAAAATACTTTGATTACTAATTTAATTTATCATAATTTCGTAAAATTATGAGCCAGTAAGAAAGTTTTACAATATACTTGGCAATAGTTTAAGTTCAACATTAAAATATTTTGTCAGAACATATTTTCTAAATCACTTTTAATTGTTAAAAATTTCAAAATTAATTTTTTACAAAAAAATTAAATGGCATTCGAATTTAATGATTTATTAATTCAATAATAGTTGATATATAATTTTCTCTTGCATTACTTATATTATCATCAATTAATCCTTTAAAATAATTTTTAAATGAAATAAAAGAATTGTAACATTATAATACTTGTTGAGTCTAATCTTGAAAAGAATTCGTTGTATTTATTCTGAAACTTTGATAAGATAATTTAACGTAAAAACAACAAAATACTACAACATAATGCAACTCCAGTTCGAAAATTCAAAGCATATTAATGGCAGTGCTAATATCGTAAATATTTTCTGCATCAGCAGAGTAAACTTTATACTCTTAGCGTTTGAGTCATCTATTAAAACCACGAAATTCATTTCGGTTTTACACAGAATAATAATCACAACGCCAGAATCTCAATTTTATACGCACCATGCACCGCAATCAAAGTCTCCTCTTCTTCCGATTGAATTCAAGCCGGGAAAAACCGCTGGTCGTTACTTCGCGATCAAGGTGGTGTCGCGTACGGATTTAAGAATAGGAGACGCAAGATGCGTCACACGCCAGGGTCCACCGAGACGCATACCGTCGCGATGCCGTCAACCCCACCGCAAGCAAGCTTCCTTACGCGAACGCAACGTGTATATATACACGTACACGATACTAAGAAATACACAGAATAAACGCGTTGCGCGCGCTAAGGAACGACGGGCGAGCGGGGGTTGATGGCGTAGCTACTCTATTTCCGTTCTCCCCGAAAACGGAGTAGCGAGCGGAGCTCTGCTCCCGAAGGTGTTTTACGAGTCACGTCGATGTCCGATTTCCTTGCCTCGCTAGTCGGGTTTTATAAGAAATGTTGCACGTTTGAAATCGTATACCCATCATTACTCGTACGATATCCACTGAAAAAGATAATTAAGTGCTGAATAATAAACTCATTTTTTTTCACGAAAATAGAATATATAATAAAATATATAATATTTTATACATATTTTTGTCAAACAACTGCTAGTTGTATTTAAAATGGTTAAAAATATATTTTGGTATGATCTTAATTTGAATACTACCTCTTGTTTTGTTTTCCTACAGATTTCAGTCCCGAGAGAAGCGTGAGGCTGGCCGATTACAGCGGCGGTCAACCAACTTCCGATGGCGCCAGCGAGTGTGGCAGCGAGACATCGTCTGAGTGTCCCGAGGAATTGTACAACCTGACGAAGCTGGCAGAAGTGAGCCTAGCAGCGGCGGCAGGCACCTTAATTCATCACAACAATGTCATCTATCAGCGACCGACATCACCTAGGATCGCGCAGTATCCTGCGGAAGCGAGCAGAATTCTTGGATCTCGATCTTCCGTCCAAGTGATGGAAAACCAAGACCAAGTCCTAGGCGAACGGACAAGGCTCTTCTTTGAACGGATCGAGACCGAACGAGAGATCTTGGAGACTCGTTCCAAGGAGAACACCGCTTTGGAGATTCGTCTTTCGCCACGACATCCTTCCTGTTCTTCGCAGGAGGTATCGTGTCACTCGAAAGTACCAGTTGTACCTGATATCGGCGTTGATCCGGTATCCGTATCTTCGACCGCATCGATCCAAAGTCGCAGGACGGTCGCTGTAGAGTCAAAATCGGAGGACAACGAGGATCACGAGTGTCCTGACTGTGGTAAGAAGTACTCGACTTCCTCGAATTTAGCCAGACACCGGCAGACGCACAGGTCACTGGGCGATAAAAAGGCCAGGAGGTGCCCACATTGCGACAAGGTCTACGTCAGCATGCCGGCGTTTAGCATGCACGTGAGGACCCACAATCAAGGATGCAAGTGCCACTATTGCGGCAAGTGCTTCTCTAGACCGTGGCTGCTCCAGGGACACATACGCACGCATACAGGTATCGATATCATTGTCCACAAAACCGCTTGTCTTGATATATACATATATGTAACTACGATAATTATATATTTTACCTAAATTATGTACGTATAATTGACATCTAGACAAAAAAGAATTAATAATTCTTGTTACCAATTGAACTTAATAATATCGTTCAACTTTCGAAGTTGTTTTTTGTCCATGACCGATTGCGTTCACTTACAATAATAGATACGTACGTAAATAAACGAAGGCAAACTATTTTTGAAGAGAGTACAGTGAGTTTAACGGGCTTTCAATGAAGATAAATTAGAAATAATTATTCATGATGTGTGATTTTGGCACGCTTAAATATGCGGTACTATTTTCAATTGTACAAATTACGGATAGGCAACTGTGAAATCGGACACAATTATACATATTTTCGTTCTTTAATGCGCTAAGTATACATTAAGAATATTTAATTGATATTTTTAGCTAAGAAAGAATAAATTTAAAAACGCAAAATATATATTTCATTTCATTTTCTATTTTTAATTTTATCCTTAAACAACGCTTTTCCTATTTACGTTGTATATTATTAGATTTATATTTAAAGAGTATTTAAATCTGCTAGGTATTCTTTTAAAATAAGTCTTTCAATTATCGTATAAGATTTTTTCAAAAATATATTATTTTTTTAAATAATTACTTTCATTGTAACCTTTATTAGTCCATAAAAAACATAGTTTTGACGAAACTGAATTATGTACATAAGAAACTCAATATTTTCAATAATTACTTTTATTCTTCCAGGCGAGAAACCTTTCAAGTGCACCATTTGCAACAAAGCCTTTGCCGACAAGTCAAATTTACGAGCTCATATACAAACGCACTCGAACACCAAACCCCACGTGTGCGGTCGTTGTGGCAAGGCTTTCGCCCTGAAATCATACCTCTACAAACACGAGGAATCGTCCTGTATGCGTTCCCATCACCGATCGTCCACCGACCGTCCAGATAAATCCGATCAGATCGAGCAGCAAAGGACATCATCGTCGTCGGTAAAACCGAGTGTTCCATTATCGTCGTCCTTGAACAGAACGCAAACGCCGTCGTGCGTCACGGCGTCGCCTACCAGCGTCATAGTTCCACGATTGGGACTCGAGCGTGACCAGAAAGACTCGTCGTCGGCATTCTCCGCGATCATCAGGCACACAAGGACGTCGGATACGTCCGCAGTGGCACCATCGAAACGACCTTGCAGAGAGAAGACACCCCCGAAAGATCCAGAGACGCAGAGTCCCGATTTGGTGACGAAGGATCCCGAATACGTATCCAGAATGGTCATCAGAACATCGGTGATATCACCCAATCCGGAGCACTTGCATCTCCGTTTCGAAAATGACGTTAAGAGTTCCTCGACTACATTCGATTATCCCGATCCGACGAGATCCTCGTCTTTTTCGAGACCCACTACGATGACTTTGAATTTGGCCATCGCTTAAAAATCGGCCGTATCAACTTAGCGATCAAGTCAAGTCAACCAGTCAATGAAAAGAATTCAGATTTGATTTCATACTTGCGTCAGTATGAGTTTTACAGTAAGGAATTTATTCGAGATTTAGAAAACTCGACTGAGAACCTTAATTAGATAACAATTTAAGATTTCAATGATTTTTAAAGCTCTCTTTTACAACAGCTTGCTAACTCTGTAAAAATTAAAGAAAATTTACTCTCTTAAAATATTTCGGCATTTTATATATTAAAGCAAGTTTAGAAACTTCTTTAATTATTTGTTAAGGAAATCGTCAATCGGAAAAATAATCAGTTCTCATTTTTAATAACGAGAGTGCTAAAAGATTTTATTGAGAAATTGAAGATTTATCAGAACGATTGTACAAATCTCAAAATTACCGATATTTCTCTTAATCATAAACTACTTCAATTTAAAGTGTCTTTAATTTAAAAAGAGAATCTTTTTTCATTAATATTCTTTTACCAATATTTTATCAATATATTACCGCAGTATTGCTGATTTCAGTTTAATAATTGATGGACATTTTATACAATTTCGAGTTTTTACAGACATTATTAAAGATTATGTGACTGTCAATTTTTCTTAATCGTATTAATTTCTTATAATTTTATACAATCGAACAAAGATTACGTCTGATAATAATGAATAACATTGCGATTTAGTAAAGAATCGACAGTGTTGCGTATGACAAATATTATTCCAAATATCTTCCAAATTAGGGACCATCTAGCGATTAGTCGTAATAACGTTAAATTTGTAAGCGTGTTTAATTTAGCGCGAACTACATTGATGTAAAGTCGTGCCTTACATAAGTATCGAATCGTGTTTTAACACGCGTGTAACTTGATACAGCGACATAGCTTCAACAGAATTGACGTGTACGGATGAACGCGTGGAAAGAAATTTTCGGGAGCGCGTCCGTTAAACGCCAAACTCGTGACCTTATCTATTTAAAGGCATAGCATCGCTATCACGCGGCGTTAAGCGATCAAGATTGATCATCGAGGACTGAATTGCAGTGCCATCGTGTTATTATTTTAGGATTAAATGAGATTCTCTGAGGCTCTTCGAGGCAGCTATCAAACTTTGTAAGATGTAAATACGTATGAATGATAGGTGCGCGAAATATAATATAAACTTCAACGAGGATGTGAAAATATATTTCTTCTATGTAATCGAGTGGAAAGTTTTTACTTTTACAATCATAAAATACGAGCAGAACGATGCAGCATTCGACGTGAGATTTGTTGTTGCCTTCGAGAAAGAATTTTCAAAAACGCAACTACGCGTCGGGATTCAAGCGTTGCGTCAGGACATTCTCAAAAGCGAAGGCGTGTGTCTGTGATTCGGAATTGCCGCGAAAAGCCGGCTACAGGCAATGCGATCACCCTGCCAAAAATATATAAAGTAAAAAATATATATATATATATAATATTATATATTTCGTATCATAGAAATAAGCTTAGACCCATCGGTCGTTCACTAGTACCCACCTGTTATGTGATGAATTTTGCTGTATTAATTCTAATTAGAATATCATGTGTATGTAACGTTCAACAAACGTTATCCAGTCGAGCAATGCGCCTGTAATTACTGTAGTAGGTTGCTGGCAACGTTATCCAGCAGCGAATTCATTATAGCGGCGATAAATAAGCTCTTCTTCTTTCGTTCGTTTGCGGTGCCACAGATTGGTGTCCGATCAGAGTGTCGAACTAGTCGAATCCGCTTCGCCATCGCAAACGTAATCTGCCGTCGTAAGAAAACTTTTGACTTTTGCTTTTAATTTATCATCGCGGCGAATATTATTACGGTGAGATTACGCGAATTATGCGAGTGGCGACGGTTATGATAAAGATTTCATGTAAGTGTAATAAATGTGTCGCGCAACTAGATTGATCGCCGCATTCGCCGAGGAATCAGCTCGAGTTGTATAATTGTAATTAATTGACGAGCGATTCAGACACACGTGCGTCCTAGTCATTCGATAGATCGCCCGTAGACGAGAATAGGGATCCCGATCTAACGATTAAGCACGTAGTCGCGTTGACCACATGTTGTAAATAGCATTCCCACTTTTACGTATTAGATTTTAGCCGCGCGAGTGAAGGAGAGACATAGTCGTTTTTTAGATAGCGATTTACTACAACCGTTGTATTATACGTGCTATTTGTACGCCGGAGTGCCTATGCGAAACATTTACCCGCATCTTTTCTACGAATTGTAAAAGTCTTGTCTATCGTAATGAAAGAATAATACACGAAGTGATATGTGTAATGTGTATACATTCAGACGCGTTTAAATTAACTTCTCCATTTATCTTATTCAGCTTCTCAATTCCTTTAATCCTTTTCTCACCTTCATTACATGATAAAGTTTAAAAGCCGTATCAAGTAATTTAATATTTTAAATAATTTAACAAAATGTCGGATGCATATATCGAATTGCAGTACCCGCGTTCACACAAAGCTTTCCGTTCAATATTCTCTCGCTTCGTCTTTTTATTTATTGAACTCATTATCGCGCCGATGAACCATGCGATCATTAGCTACGCTTGGTAGTAGGATAAACAGCGACTAACTGTATTTAACAAATAGATTGGAATCAATAATTAGGCCAACGAAAGCGAAAGTAAGTAACCCGATATGTCAAGTTAACTCAATGTCGCTTATAATTGATACATATACACGATTTAGGATAAAATCGAAAGAATTTTCGTGGTTTAAATGTTATATATATAAATTAATTTTTATCAACTAATCGACTGATTAAGTATATTCGTGTTTTATTTCTAAAACATAATTTTCTTCATAAATATCTTCGTATAAATATATATATATATTTATATAAAATATATTACATATGTGCATATAATATAATAAATAAAAATTACCGTGTAAAGTATATGGAAAATTGCAAAACAATTTTGTTAAAAAAATGTTCAAATCTGTTAAAAAGTTTAGGTTTGAGATGCCCTGGATTGCTTGTCTAAATAAGCAATACAGTGATATGGTATCAGATTTTCATTTCTTTCTAACTGCATCATGGGGTGTACCTTCTAAGTCAATGACAGGCGCATATCTTTCGGTAATGAGATCTGCGGCGACAAGATGAGACCAAACGAGATAACGTGATATACACAAGCGTTTGTACGCACTTACATTACGACGCACATTCTCGGAATTTCGTCCAGCGATCCTTACTCCCGCCTCGCGGTCATTCTATGATTCCAAGCGGCGCTTCGTGGGACTGACTACGATGGGGCCGAAGAAGAGACGCAGCGGAAGAAGCAAGTAGAATCGGTGGGAATCTAATTCAACGGGGTTAGAACATCGTCGAAACGTTGGTTCGCTTCAGTCGTGGAAAGTCGTCCCGCAGACGGTTCGAACTATGCGGCTGTGTCTCATCGTCCTGATCTTCCTCGCGAGTACGGCACTCGCGAGGTACCACGTAAGTTTTCCATTTCCCTCGCGAAGAAATCTCAAGCTTGTTTCGCCACCTGTCTGTTATCACGATATCGATAACAATAAAGGATTCTCAGTGCGTTCGAAAGAAATCAAACGGGTTCGTAGATTAACGTGCCTTTGTGTATCGTGTGTAAGTAACAACGCGCTAACCGCAATCAATTTTGGACAAAATTATATTTAGTTAACAATAAAAATGTTTAATAAATAATAATAAGGCTAATATGATATATAGGGGCAATAATAATTAAATATATTAAGGGCATATAAGAGTCAACGCGCTGAAGTCGGTGTGTAATTAAATAAAATTTTGTATTGTATAGAAATTCATATAAAAAAGTTAGAAAAATTAGAAATTACATAATTAATTCAAATACTTACAAATAAATTGGACAACGCTTCTCGAGATTACATGTTTCGGTTACAAAAATTCTTAACATTATAATTAATAAAAAAAACAATAATATTTGAAATATCACATTATTAAGAGTTCCATTTAATCAAAGCTTCAGTTACTCTCACAAATTGATTCATCAATTTGATAACGTTTTATTATCGCGTTGTTTTTTTAACGAGCAAGATTTTGCAGATGATTAACAGGCACTTGCGGGAAAAGCGCTCTATATAGTTTTTATGCAATTGTAAAACTGACCAGATCGTTGCTGATTTGTAGATGATATTTAGATGTCCGCGTATGCATGAATTACTTATTCATCAATTCGGAGTAATAGATAGCTGCTTATCTCTTCTTCTTGCAATTTAGGGCACTCCTTGGCATCGCCGTGGTTCGCGCAGCGTTGTGAAATTCAGCAAATCGTCGACATGTATCATCTATCCACGATGATAAACGCGGAAATACGATCTCCCGGGTATCCCTCTACTTCATTCATCGTTCCATAATACGTCCAAAAGCAAGCAGACTTGTACAAACTGCACTTTTAAAATGATTACAATTGCGTTTACATAAGAAAAAGCGCAACACGCTTTTGCACGAAACTGATACTTATTCCGGTCACTTCGATCAGACTCTGATTAATTTTGCAGTAAGCGAAATGTCAGCAGTTCAATGCCAACAGGGTGGCGATAAATTCAATTAGAAATTGCTAGTAAATTGACATCAACTGTGTCAACAATTATACATGTGATATCTTGTGATGTTTTACGATAAAGTCTGCTGACAAAACTTGACAGTAGATTTTCTTCGTTTTCTAAACCTGTATATTTGCATTCAAATTCTGTTCTATTTCTGCTTCCAATCTGCGTCCAATCTTCGTAGCAAATATGTTAAAGTCTGCTTGACTTTTACTACTATATTTCATTGACAAATTTTCGTATATATTTTTCAGATTGTATATATTAAATTTTGAATTAAATATGCGGTTCTCTTGCCAATAGAATCTGCAGAAATATACTTTATAAAACATATTCACGAAAGATTTAGCTGCGTTTAGGCGACAATTAATTCAACTAGGAAAATTGCGATAAAATTTTAGATCAAATAAATTTTTATCTCGATTCTTTATTCTTTCTATGCATCAAACAACGAAATGCATAATTTTATTCATGTTAATATTAGGAAGTATCGATTGATCCATTATTGTTGATCATTCCTATTTTTTTTTTTAGATTAATGTTATGTATTTTTTTTGTCAAAGATAAAATTCTAAAATATTTTAATTTTTCAATAATTATGATTTGATTTTAATATACTAAATATTTCATTTGTTATTATTTTTTTATTTTCATCAAAATTTATCACTTTTTGTAAAATAGCTTGATACTTTAGTAGGTAACAGGAGTGGCGTAACTTAATGTGTTGATCACCGATTGAGTTATAATCAGAGCCTGATCAAGTTTTACCTTTAAAAATTGTTAAAACCTTAAAAGGCTCGTTTAAAAATTTACCAATGACTCGTAATAAAATCTGCGTTAAATACATGATCATTATATTTGGTCGGACCGGTAGAAGCATGGCTCTCATTTTCGTTAATTGAATTCCAAACCGAATATCGAGATCATTATATTGTCCAAACCTGTTGACTTTATTCCAATTTATGACGTTCCTTTAGAGTAAGCTATTTGCGCGGTTTACGCTGACGCACGCGACTAAAAGACGACAATTGTTGAAAGAAAGATTTGGAGGTTAAAGCTCACCGAGATAAGCACGGACGATACGGATTGTCTGGCTTGTTCTCGACCGCAACGCTTTTTTCACCCCCTTTCGACAGCGCTCGAGAGTCCGTTTGTGTCGTTTCTACAGTAGTCTTACTTACAATAGTTTTAAGATTTGTAATTAACGTCAAGGTATAATTGTAATGAGACAATAATTTCAACAATCTTTTTTCTTTTATCATTTTTGCCAAAATGGTCAGTTAAAAAGATTGAGCAGAGGAAAATCGAATTGAAGTGAATCGCGAATTTGAATTTCAAACATTAATTTCAAGTTTTCAAACATTAATTTCAAGAAGAACCCAACAAGAACGATTCACTTAAATTTGATTTACCTCTTTTGAATTAACAGATCCCAAAAACCGCGAAATTGAATTTCTAATTTTTATCTAATTAATTTTTATCTGATTCTGAAATAGAAAAATAATTAGATACAGAAATATTTTAAAGTCATAAAAAGATTATAATATATGTATATCAATTCTTTATATAATACTATTTATATTTATGTATATTAATCTCTCTTATAAATGATTTTTGTAATGTATTATTATAATATTATTATTAATAACGTAATTTAAATATTATTAATAGGAAAAGACGCGTTTCGATCGATCTATACATGAGTATAACATGAGAAACGTAGAAAACAATAATGAAGAGAAACAATGGTCTTTTAATGATGATATAACGGTAAGCAATTATTTGTAATTATCTTAATATTAAAATATATCAATTAAAATTGATTCTTTAAAAATAGCAATTCGTTGCATACAAGAGCAGAGAGGAGAACGATTGTTATCTTGAAGATGTAAGGCAGGGTCATAATATGTCACGTAAGAAACGACAATTCAAGATACTTTATGCATCGGCAGTCCTCACAAAATTAGAGGTAATAATAATATAATAAATTATACGATATATCGAAATGGTTTAGTCTAAATGTGCTTATCTAAAAGAAATTAGAATTATGTTTCTTGCTATCTTTATTAGTTTGAGAATTTATTACCAAGTAAATTACATAAAAATATTAGTACACGTATATGCAGCATTAAATTTAATATATTATGATATCATAGATCCTAGTTACCTTAACTTGTATTCTTTATACATATAATTGTATTATCATACAATTTTGAAAACTATAAAACAATAATAGGATTTTTATCAGTTATTTAAATATAATAATTATATGTAGAAATACATCAATAATATAATATCAGAAGGAAAGCATTAAATATCTAACTTTAATATTTTAAACAGGCATGGCGACTTGCTGGAGGTCGAATTGTTGATTTCTGCAATGGACGCAATATCCTTTTGTTACAAACAATGAGACCTGTACCAGAGCAATCTCTTGATCTCTTTTTCAATAAAATTCCAGTAGACGAAAACAATATTTCGTCCAAACGCATAGCTGATATGGTTTTAATACCGTTGAAAGCTCGGACAAAGCGACAGATACAACTCGAGCAACGAGAGAAGTTGAACAAAAATGTTAATCGAATTCGGAAACGTCGGCAGACGAATCAGTTTCGAGGAAAATTTCGTGGACAGACGCAATCTCAATATTTAAATTTTGCGAACGATGAAAAAAAAGAGGGTAAGGCCGAAGCTGAAGCCACTCAACAAACTTCACGCGCAGTAGTTAGTAAGTATTTAAATATTTGATATTCTATCACACATCACTGTATATAATATAATAATTAAATGCTTCCTTTTAAGAAGAAGAGAAATATCTATTATACTTCAAAATAATCTGATTCAAAATAACAAATACCTAAATAAATTAAAAATTCAAAAATGAAATTCAAAAAAATATGATATGAGATTAAAATCATGGAATTTACGTTAAATAATAAAAATTTTATTAAAGATAAAACTTACAATATTTTCATATTTTCCCCAAATTATTTTTATATAATAAATATTTTAGTATGTATCTCCTTTCAGGTGGTAGTCGTGGAATGGGTCAAGCGCAAAGCATGTCATCAGGTGGCACCGGTTGCGAAGATTGTCCTGGATATCCTGGATATCTTGGATATCCTGGCATCGAAAGGGCACCGGATAAGGTACAAGTTCCACCTATGGGTATTGACGGATATGTGCAAGTTCCAGGTGTTGGTACACCTGGTATTGCACAGCCAGGAGTCGTTACTGGTATCCCATCTTATCCTGGCAGACAGATAACATATCCAACTGGAGTAGTTCCTGGGGAAATTAGCACTTATCCTGGTATTCGCCCTGGCAAACCAGAAACGTATCCCGGAGGTGTTCGTCCTGGCACTGTCATACCAGGAGCTGAGGAGACGTATCCCGAAGGTGTTCGTCCTGGTACGGTGACACCAGGAGTTGAGGGGACGTACCCTGGAGGTGTCCGTCCTGGTATTGTGACACCAGGAGTTGAGGGGCGATATCCTGGAGGTGTTCGTCCTGGTACGGTGACACCAGGGGCTGAGAGGCCGTACCCTGGAGGTATTCGTCCTGGTATTGTGACACCAGGAATTGAGGGGACGTATCCTGGAGGTGTCCGTCCTGGTATTGTGACACCAGGAGTTGAGGGGACGTATCCTGGAGGTGTCCGTCCTGGTATTGTGACACCAGGAGTTGACGGGACGTATCCTGGAGGTGTCCGTCCTGGTATTGTGACACCAGGAGTTGACGGGACGTATCCTGGAGGTGTCCGTCCTGGTATCGTGACACCAGGAACTGACAGGATATATCCTGGTGGTGTTCAACCACCTGGAACTATGATACCAGGAGGCGATAGAACATACCCACCTGGGATTTTAATCACAGGAGATCGTGGACTATATCCTGGAGAAGTTTTACCTGGTGTTACAGTAGGAGTTGGAACGTATCCAGGAGGTATTCAACCTGGAGTTCAACCAGGACAAAGTATATATCCTCCTGGTATTGTAACCACTTCAGTAACAACAGGTGCCACTGCTGTTACTGGTGTTGGAACTTATCCAATTAGTACTCCACCTGGAACAGGGTTACCAAGTGGAACATATCCAGGCACAGGAGTTCCTAGCGCAAGAGTTCCTAGCACAGTAGTTCCTGGCACAGGAGTTCCTGGTACTGGAGTTCCTAGTACTAGAATTCCTGGTATTGAAATTCCTGGAACTGGAATTTCTGGAACTGGAGTTCCTGGCACTGGAGTTCCTGGCACTGGAGTTCCTGGCACTGGAGTTTCTGGTACTGGAATTCCTGGTACTGGAGTCTATCCTGGTATTCGACCTGAAGCTATCCCAGGGACAAGTGTCGGGACATATCCCGGTAGTGTTGTGCCAGGAACAGTAACTCAAGGAATTTATCCTGGACAGCAGACTGTCGTGTACCGCCATGAAGGTGTTCCATCAGGCACTTTACCAAGCGGAGGTCAAGTGCCTAGTACGATTACGACTACAACATCTGGTACTGGTACACAAGTAATAACTTATCCAGGTGGTCGACCGACGAACGGTCAAACGGTTTACCCAGGTCCTAGTGATACTATTCAACATGGAAGAATTCCTGAAGGAACAGGTACTCAAGTTGTATATCCAGGTGTTACATATCCTGGTACTATTCCAGGTACATATCCTGGCGGTGCACAACAAATTCCTTCTGCCGGTGGTACTTTATATCCTAGCCAAGCAATCTACCCAGGTGGCCAAGTGCCAACCGCTTACCCAAGCGGACAGTACCCAGGCACAGGTATTGCAATTCCAGGAACAGGAATTCAATATCCAACAGGCATAACAGGAGGAACTGATGGGACGAGACGGTATTTAACTCAATTTCCAGGTGGAATTAGTCTTCAAGAAGGCAGCATTCGGAAGTTGGAAGAGTTTTATCCGGGAATGGTTGGACCTGCAGGTATAGAAGAATCTAGGGGTTTAACTGGACCGGCAGGTCCAGCAGGTATGGTGGACGACGGTACCGAATCACAGGCGTCGAGTTCCGTGCAGCAGGTGGATTTAGGTACTCAGGCGAGCGCTTCGGCTCAGGGTAAATACAGATCAGGTACAGCTCAGTCGCAAGTGATGGGCACCTATAGCGATTCCGGCACCTTCTCAGCTCAAGCTGGTACCAGTGACGCCAACAAAAGCGCTCAGACTGAGATCAGTGGCGGTAAAGAAGGAGCTACTAGCAATGCGCAAGGCGTTGCCGGTTATGGAAAGAGTCAAGCACAGGTTCAACTAGATTCCGACTCCGGAGCTACCTCGACAGGTGCTCAGAGTAGTGGATGGAATCATGGTACCAATTCACAAGTGCAAGCAAGCTCCAAGGGTGGAATGGCGGATGCTCAGGCTAACGGCGAGGGTAGTACTTCCAGCCAGGCGCAGATTGGATTTCAGCCATACTTGAAAAGCGAAGATGAAAACGTGGAAAAGCACGAGTCGCCTTTTCGCGGTAGTGGAACAGCATCGGCTCAAAGTGGCACTCATCGAGGTCAGTCCCAATCACAGCTGCAAGGTTCTTTTCAATACGGGATCACGTATACCGGCGCAGCGCAAGCCGGTTCTGGATCTGGTGCCGCATCCTCGCGGAAGCCCTTCAACTTCACTGATTCCGAACTTTTCAAGCCCTTCAAACCGGCTCCTTCTCCGAAGCGACCAACGAATATTAACAGTGTACAGTCGAGTCCGTCAATAAATTCAAATAATAACAGACAGGATGAAAACAAGCAAAATCGCGAACAAGGCTTGCAAAACAGCTCGACTTCAAGACAGACTGTCGTCCTGGCTTCTAAAAATAACCTGGACAATACTGATAAAAAAAAGATGCTCTCTACCGAAAAACCGCGAACGGATGAGACAGCGTATGACGAATACGACGATGACTACACAGACGAGGATGATTATCCTACGGGTTCAAAATTGACAATCAAAGAGAAGTTTTCGGAAACTTTTCCAGGCACAAACCCAAGTCATCAAAAACTTAACAAAAGCATTCAGCAACAAAGTCGCAGTCAGTCGCAGACTATACAAGTCGCTAAAGAAAATCAATATAACATTCACGTTAAACAAGATTCAAATATACCGCGAACGGATGATACTCTACAACCGGGACAATCCGTATCAGGATACACCATCCCACCTGGATTCCGCGGTCGAGTAATGTCGGCTTCTGGCACCGAGACTGTTGCTCAGGGCGACGGTAAATCTCAATCGCAGACTGTATCTTTAGTACCTAAGGATTTGAATAATACCAAATCATCGCTCGTCACAGAAACCAGATCACTTCGAACTAATCACAATCGTTACATTGACCGGCCTATGTGGAAAAATCAAGAGCCTTCCGTTAATCAAAATATATCTTTCGACAAACGTGCAAAACCTACTCCGGCAGTAGCGGCGAAGCCGAGTTATTACACCGTGACCAACAGTTTTGCCGGCAAAATGAACGGTAGCAACGAACCGAGAAAGTACGAGCATCGATATTACACTAAGAGTTCCACTTGCGGATACTTCACGTTTTCCTGTAATGTCGTGTACGGTTCCAACGGCAGGACAAAGATCTGCAAACCAAAAGTGCCAACATATCCCGATGGTACGCCTATAAGATGTTGAATCTCATCAAAAAATATATAGGATGCAGCGACAATTATTTATGTAAAGCATCCTGCATTAAATAATTTTTTCTACGTTGTATAGTACAGTGGAATTTGTGACTCGCTTAGGATAGATTAGATCGTACTTGACTAATTGCTTTCGCGCGCATCGGTATTGTGGCGCATCCCATCATAAATTCAAGTGAGGTACATTCCCTCTTCAGTAGCTTTAACAAATAAAAATACAATAAATATAAAAATAAAACGAATACGGACAGAAAGCTTTTGTTCTTGTGGATTAGTAAATGAAGATTAATCTTTGGATATCTCTCTCTCTCTCTTCACAAGATCGAAAGTTACGCCATAAATGTTACTTCAATGCTGTAATTTTTTTATTGAGGTACTTCCAAATTATGGACTGTATAGTATAGTGAACGTATTGTTACATCAAATCGCTGCTATTTATTAAGTTTTCAATAAAATACATTTTAACTAGAAGAAAAATCTTTCTTATCTTCTTCTCACCGGTTATGAAATATAATTAACAATCTTCTCAATTTGACATAGGTTGTATTGTATGAAAGTTCGTTTAAATTTTATCTATAATTATATTTGCGACATGGCAAACTCGCAGATACATATGTAGAATATTGCTTCGACTTATACTATATATTTTCGGTATTGACGTAAAATGTTCAGTTATAAATGTCAGGTATCGTATCTTGTACATACTGTATCTCGCTACTCGATTTCGCCAATCTTTTTCAAGACGAAACATACATGACGAAATGTGTTTCAATATATATATATATATATATATATATATATATATTTTGTATATATATTTCGTAAATATGTATATACGTATATATACAATATCTTTACATTAATTTTTAAAAAAGGAACGTACACAATAAAATAATGCGGAATGTAAGCTGTGTACAAAATGCACATTACTGATGATAAATGAAAAGAAGAAAAATATATTCATCATTTACAAAAGTAGAAAAAAGAATATGGGCGACAACGAAATAATTATATACAGAAAATAATGATTTAAAAAATCGAGCTTCCTCTCACGATTGAGTAAATAACTATTAAACAGTAAATATTGCAAATAACCTACCTTTCACATTGATCAATAATTAAAATTGTATGTTGTCGATTATAATATATAATTAAATAATATAAACGCAACAAATATATTTACATATATGCTTCTAGAAGCATTGACAATTTCATTATTAAACACAGTAGGCGCGTATCTCACGATAGACATTCGACACGTACAATTCGCCCAGCACAGAGTCAAAGACCGAAAAAGAAAAGAAAAAAATTGTTGTTAAGTCCTGTACTTAAGGCCCTCTACGAGATTACCTATCCAATTTACATCTTCGCTATCTAACTTACAACACTCCATTGCTATCGACACGAGTGAATACTAGGCTTGTTGTCGATCGTAGACTGTAACTGCATCCAATGATTATTTCATCGATTCAAAAGCGACGACTATATTAACAACGTACCTTCACTGTATTCATTGGAATTATTAGCTTGAAACTTTTGTTCCTCAGCCCCGTCTACTTCAGTGTCTACTAAAATTTCGCACGTTTCGTTATTGCTGTAAAGCAATATATATCTAGTTAAACATATTAACATATTATATTAAGGTAAAATATATATTTGTTTTAATATAGAAGATTGTGAATACAGATTACAAATACTGATTGATTATCCTGTTTACCTATTTCTAAAATGTTCCAGTTGTACGTTTGCAGATTCCAATTGCTCTACGAGATCCTCGTTGGCCCGTTGCAATTTCCGCACACTGTTCGTAGCAGCGTCAACCTCATCCTGAGCAACAGCCAATTCTTTCTTCAATTCTTCGACTCGCGCTCTTACTCGCTTCACCTCCACCTCATATTGCTCGGACCGTCTCATCGCATGCGACAACTCCGTTGTTTTTTCCGCCAAGGATTGTTTTAGTGTCGCCTGATACTGCTTCACTTCAAGTAACACCTGCACAATAGAGACAAGGTAATAAAAATCATTTTAAGGATTATTAATTCATAAGATTATTGAACGGACCATGTTGCGAACTAGAATCTCATGCTGCAATTGTCTCGTGTCTGTGTCGGCTGTAGATACTGGTCGTGGTCTCCTCGATTCCGCTCTTTCTTGCAGTTCATATAATTTTAAGCGGAGCAGTTTGTTCTCTCGTTCCAAGGAATTCTTCTCAGTTTCTAGTCTCTCCCTTTTACTCCATTCTGCTGCATTTTCAACTTGAAGTTTCTCTAGCTAAAATTTTGAAATATAAAGATGTAAGAACATCTGTCTATTATAGCATAGCACAAAAATGCATATAGACATCAAAAATATAATTTAACAACTTTATCACAGGAATACGTTATTAGTTAATATACATTATTAGTAATATTTAATGATTTCTTTAATGAAAACATGACTGCAAGTATTCATATAGTAACTTACTTCTGTCCTTAATTCTATCAAACGACGGTCCATACTTTCTCCATTACTTGTATCGTCTATTAAATCTGCTATATGTTCGTCACTGAGTTCGAGTTGGAAACGTTCTTTTAGCTCTGATAATTCTCTCATTGCTTCGGCTTTATTCTCACATAATTCCTCACATTGCTCTCTTAATTGTCTAATTTCAGCTTTCAATTTTTCCACGGTCCGATGTAGAGAATTGTTTTCCCTTATAGAAAAAAAGTTAAAATAAATTTATGTACGACATAATCAATTAATTCTGTATATTTTGTGTAAAACTTACTCTCTTTCCACAGAAATGGTTTTCGTTGCCTCCTCCAATTTTATTTGCAACTGTGACATTTTCTGAGTTAAAGACTCTTCATTATACATATCTAAAGGTGATTGTTGTTTATCCAATCCATCCTTTTTGCCGTTACTATCCGTGACTAGTTTTGTGATGTTTTTATCTAGTAAATTGCTGGGACTCTCCTTATACAATTCTACTGCATGTTTTGGCACAGCACCTTGCAAAACATACTCCTCGATATCCCTTTCTGGCAAGATATTGTGACTTCCCAAAGCAACATTTGTTATTTCATGCGAATTTTTACAAGATAGCATATCCCTTTGTGCACCTAATGCATCACTAGCGTTGTTGTAAAACTCCAGCTGCTCGTCCAATCCAAAAGTAGCTCTTAATTGCGGATCTGATTCCAGAATGGTAAAGATCTGTTGATCAAATTGTCCAGCATGTTTCAAGAGTATCATGTGTATCTTTTCCATCTCCTTCTTCAGCTGTTCATTCTGCAGTTCCAGTTCTTGAGATTCATGCTTGAAAGTATTAGCATCTTTAACGGCAATCTCTAGTTTTGCTCTCAAAGCCTTTGCCTCGTCTCTAGCTGCGTTTCTTTCGTTCCTCACTTTGCTCCATTTCTCACGCCAGTTAGCAGTACAATCAGACCACCATCGCATCGTCTTTTCCATCTGTGCCGCTCGCGCTCTTGCTTCTTCAAGCTCTCGCTGTCGTAAGGCCTATTTGATGAGAAAACACATACGGTAATTAATCAATAGTCATAACAAACAATATTATGGTCAATTAAATCTCTCAGAAAATGCTTCACTTATAATTAATATAAAATATTAAAAACTTTAATTTATGATCATATATGTATATAATAAAAAATTAAGATTAAATATTAAAAAATGTACATATTGTAAACTTAGAGTATTAAATAATTTTCTGGTTAGTCTGTAGAACAAAATAAATAAGAAATACATGGCAGTATATAAAACACTTAGACTTATACTATAGACTAAACGCTTCTATAAAAAACTCCAGGTAATGCAACTTTATTTTACTCATTGAAAAGAGTATTTAAAGTTCTATTTGCAAAGTGATAGGCCTAAGGTTGTGTTATAATTTACTACTTTTAACAAAATATACTAGTATGATACAGATAAAATACATAATGTTGTATGTTTATGATATAATCATGTCATAAATACAAGTAAACATAATATGTTATAAATATAGAATAGGGCGCGACTAATTCAGATTTAATTAATATGACACAATTTAAGTCTACAGAAAGGAGCTACCTCTTTAGATTCCCACTCGCTGTCCACGTAACGCGACGAGGACGGCACCTCGTGCTCCCGCATGTATCGTCGCGAGGAGGTTCCGCTTGTTGTCGACTGTGCCATGGTACGAGCAGCGCGTAACCTACAACTTTGTTTTCGCTGACAGCCCTCGGGCGATGATCTTTCCGAATGTTGCTCTTTTACCTCTACGGCACCTTTCGGCACCGATTTAATGCTGATCAAGTATCGAGAGCATTGTTCCTATCTTGATCGCACCGTTTAAATGTTGTCAGTCTTGATTCAACAACAAAATTCCATACATACCACCGACGACGATCTCGCCCATAACTGATGCAACATACACATGTAGTACACACACCTGACATGACACACTACACGCACATACATATAACGACGATAGCCGTTGATAGCCACCTCCCTCATGGAAAAAGAGCTCGAGGGTTGTCCGGATTGCTGCGCGCGTAAATTTAAAACGCTATGAACATATACAGATTGTCCTAAGATTATAAAAATATAATAAAAAAATGCATTAAAAAAATTTGCTTCCAGCAAATTTAAGAAATAGATTTTAGGTTATTGCCTTTATAAAGCGAACAAGCATTTTAGAGTACTAGGAAAAAATTCTAGAGTTTCTAAACAATTTAAAAATGAATAATTTTAAGCGATAAAAGTTTAAAAGATTTGTTGATATAGTTTGGAAAAGATGTAATTAGAGGGCCTGAAGTACTCTATAATTTTTATATAATTAATTCTTATATATATAGTATTGCATTTACAGAACTTGATTTTTTTCTCAATGTTATCTTCAATTTTATTAAAATTTTTACCTTGAAAATTCAATACATCCAAATCTTATAAATATAAAATTCGATTAATTTTATTACAGATATTGTTACAGACATGTCAATTTATCTTCGCTTTCTACCGCCAACCTTCTTGTGCAAATCCCGCTTGCCTTTACCCGCCTTCGGCTTTTTAGCAGATTTACTGGTTTTGGTTTTTAATGCGCCCTTCCTCTTTTTATTAATTTTTATGGGCTGCTGTATCCTGCAAATACACAAATAAACATTGCGTTATATTATATTCAACAAATCTAGCTTAAATTTGCATACCTAGACTGGAATTTTCCAATAGACGCAGTAGATGTATGCGCTACAGTTGCAGCTTTAGAAAGCTGTTGAGAACTCGAAAAGTGTTCTCTGGTAGGTAAACCAACGCTTGGTAATTTAATATTTTTTGACTTGGCTATATTGCGAAGTCTTTGCAATTCGTTTTTGGATTGCCTTTCCTGTTTAGCTGTTTTAACTTTAGCAAATGGATCATCAGTCGAATTATCCTTGGCCTCTATTAACCATTCCTTCTGTTCCTCAGCCGTTGCTCGTTTGTAACCGTGTGTTGGAATCCATTTCTAAAAAAAATTTAGGACATCAGATGAATGACTTGTTACAAGCTTTATATATTAATAGTAATTTAAATACTTTAAATATCCATTTAATAACTTTAAACATAAATGTAACAGAATATTTTCGAAAGTAACAAACCTTCAATATTTCGTCCCACTTCAGTTTGGATTTACCCTTCTTTTTAGTTCGAATTCCCTTCTCTTTGGCAAATTGCTGCCACTTTGTCAAAGGCTTGGGTTTCGGAATAACACGTGAGCGTGGCAATACATAGTCAGGTTTGGGTAACTTAGCCACTATAGCTTCGTCCACTCGTTCTATCGGCAACTCCCAGATCTTATTGATCAGCAGCTGTACGTTGTCTCTCGTTAGGTTTTTCAAGTATGAATTTGATTGTGACCTACAGATACAAGTATTATAAATATTTTTCTGAAATGAAACAAATCCGTAATGTTTTCTTACAAAGCTAACAACCATGTGTACAAAATGAATATTACTTGAGAGCCTTTGCATCCAAAGCGTTATAATCGGACATGAGCAGAGTTCCCAGATCGATATCGAATTCCATGTTTACCTCCGTGGATTTACTTAAATCTTCTTTTCCTTCATCCTTTTCTAATATCGACTTCACAATATCCATTGTGACTTGTGACGACCTTGGTAGAAACAGAGAGAAACCTGAAAGTGATCTCACATGTGCTGAAGTATATTCTATTTTCCTATTGGCGGATGCGATCAATCCAACGCATGCGCACAACACTCAAAGTAATGTTAGAAAGAGAGGGAAATATATATTCCCGCACCGTGGTTCTGGGACGGCTTCCTCTCACTCCCTCTTATAGGCACTAGCCATATAGTAGTATTACATATATGGTTTTAGGCCGTCATGTCCTTTCTCAGGTTTCTCTCTGGTAGAAAGAAGAAGAGAGCAGATGACAAGAATGCAATGCAGAAGGATAAAAATTCAATCAGGGGATCAACCCCCTCTGGGCTGCGTTCCGTTTCACGCATATGCGCGCATTCCCCTATAGTATACGTGACGCTCACTATATAAAATGCGCGCATATGCCAGAAACGGAACGCAGCCAGTGATACCGTTTCAAGTATAGGACGCGATTGGTTGATTTTGCTGCACTTCAGCGAACTTCAAAATAAATGTAGTAGTACCGCGGCCATGCCCGGGATTTAGCTGCAACTTAATTTTGAAGCGCCTTTATGTCCACAAAACGTGGACATTGAACTATGTAGCCAATGTCCACGATCGTGTCGGTAATGTCCATGATTTTTTGGTTCGAATCTTCCCTAAGTCCATTATTATCGATCCGTTAGACAAATAAAGACAGACAATCAATCGATTGTCGTTTGCTCACCCCCTTAATTTAAAAGATACAAGAAAATTAAGTTTTGGTATCGAATTAAAAAAAAGATTTTTTTCTTCATGCATTCGTTTGCTCATCGTTAGTTTGCTCATAAATCTTTTGAACTAAGGGTGAGCAAACGAAAATTCCAACTGAGAATTCGTGAATAAACGATCAGCAAACAAATGCATGAAGAAAAGAATCGATTTTTTAATACTGGGAGGCCAGCTTCACACGGGTGAAGAGCGAACAGTCACCGCTCATCTCACCATGGCTCGTGTAGATAGGTATAGCTTTGTACCTTATAGCTCTACTGGTCATTTCTTTTTGAAACGTATTTGTAATAAATATTAAATAATATAAAACGTTGTTCCTAAGATTTCAAAAACTCAAAATATTAAATTAGAAATATAAGTCAGAACATTTTTTTATTTTAAAATAAATAATATTAAATAACTGCTCAATCTTTTTTTTTATTTAAATAATTCAAACACATACACACACACACACACATATAGAGAGAGAGAGAGAGAAAGAGAGAGAGAGAGAGAGAGAGAGAGAGAG